ATTCGTGAGGCCAAAAGGTATGACATTATATTCAAAATGTCAGTACCTAGTTTGAAAAGCAGTCTTCTATTTATCTCCTTCTTTGATACAAACTAAGTTGTAAGCTTCTCGTAGATCTATTTTGGTATAGATCTTTGCTTGATTGAGTTGGTCTAGAAGTCCTGAAATTAAAGGCAAAGGATACCTATTTTTGATGGTGATCTTGTTTAGTCCTCGATAATCCACACTTATTTGCAAAGATCCGTCTTTCTTCTTCACAAATAAGATAGGAGCCTTAACTAGACATTTAGAATGGCGTATAGAGTTCTTTGCCAAATTCTCATGAATGTATTCCTTTAATGCAACCAACTCATTTTGCGATAAGCTATAGATTGGTCCAAATGGTAGTTGAGCTCCTTCTTGCAGATCAATTGAATAATCATAAGATCGATGCTCGGAGAGAATATTTACATTCTTCTTTTCAAAAATATCTTAGAATTCTTAATATTGCTTAGGAATACCACTCAACGTTGTTTTACCATTGGAAATGGATATAGCATATATAACAAAAGATGATCTTTTTTTTGCAACATGCATGAAAGCTTTTGCAATTACTAATAAAGGTTTAAGCATACTGAACTTACATACTTCTACTTCACTAATACAATCTTGGATAATACTATTAAAAAAATTAAGGTTACGAGAAATCCAATCTATTTGAGGGTTATATTTTTCTAATCATGATAAACCTAAAATAACCAGATTAGAGGGAGATTTTATTACATTAAATACTACTACGTTGTTATGATCTTTAATTGCTATATCTAAAGGAATAGTTTCATGGATTACATTTCTTGAAGACAACAAATGACCATCTATGACTTCTACATGTACGGATTTAACTTTCTTTACTAAAGGTATTTTTTGATTTTAGGCAAAATCTTCATTTATAAAACATGCTGAGGCTCTTGAATCTAATAAAGCAAAGATTTTGTGATTATTAGGTCCTAAATATACTTCTATTATAAAATAAGGTGAGGAGTCTGAGGAGAGGATAGGACCTTTACTAGTTGTTGCACATGATTCCAACTGCACGGTCCCTCTTGTAGCTAAAAAAACTCGTTTTTCGACACATTATCTTCTTTGGTAATTGTGCTCCTCATTTTGTAATTGTGTTTTTTCTTTGGATAATATTAAGGAGTGTGCTTAGCTTCTCCATAATATAAACATAATTCTTTTTAGCGACGTCGAGTTTTTTCCTGATTTGTGAGAGGTTTAAAATGTATCATATCAATTTGCATTGGTTCTGGCTTTGACGAATATGTTTCAAAAAACTTGGGAGGTATCGCCATTACTTGACTTCTTCCTCTCCAACCAAATCTTTATTCTTGACACTTTTCAAATAAATGATTGTCAAATGTAATGGCTTGAGTAATAAATTGTTCGAAAGATTCTACTTTTGGTATTGTCAATAATAAATCTTTGATGCTATCCTTCAATCCATATCGCAATTGGTTGTTAAGTGCTTTATCATTCTAGTCCACGTCGCAAGCAAGATTTTAGAATTTGGCAGCATATGTAGTAGCTGATCGTGATCCTTGCTGTAAGGATAAAAGTTTGGTCTCTTCTACTTGTTCTCGATCACTTTCTCTGAATGTGGCCATAAACACTTCTACAAATGAATTCAAATCATAAAATAGTTGTGAATCTTTTTCCATTAAAGGAGCAAACCAAGAGAGAGCACTTTCTGATAGTAGCGTGCCTATAAATCTGACTTGGGTAAATTCATCAGGATATTGGAAAGGATGTAACCTTAGATAAAGCTTGACTTGTTGCAAAAATCCTCTAAATTTTGATCTTGTTCCATCAAACTTCTCAGGCATACTAATCCTTGTCCATGTCATACTTGTAGAAGCAAAACTCCTTGGATTTGGTTTTGACGTTGATGTAGTTGCTTCTTTCAACTGCACAACTTCTTGCTGCAAACTCTGAACTTCTTTCATAGGCTTAGGTATAGTACTTTCATGATTCTCGTTAGAAATACATGAGATTTTTACTCCTAGAGTGTTGACAAGCTCATGAAGATCTATTATAGTTGCAAATCTATTCTCACTTCAATTGAGAGTAGCATCCATAATCTTTTCTTCCATAGACAACTCAAATGAATTCAAAAGTTAAATTAGAGGAGGGTAATTTGCAACCTCTAAAAACAAATCCCACAAAGAGAGGTAATCCACTCTCTTTAAGAAAAATATCAGTATTAGAAAATAAGATTTTTTGTTTAAAGGTAGGTAGTCCATAACCTTCAAAATACAATAATAGAAGTGGGGTAATCCACTCACTTCTAGAACAAGTCAGAAACAATATGTTAGCACTCTTGTCAAACTATCAAGGACATAAATTACGAAAAAAGAAAATCTTCAATATATTCTTCTATAACTAAAGAAAACTAGAAAGTCACTCAAAAGGTGATGTAATATTAATTAGAATTGGCTATTGCAAAAAAAAAAAAAAAAAAAAAAAAAAAAAACTAGAAAGTCTTGAAACAAGACTAAGACTAGAAAGACGTTGACAAGAGTGAAGAAGGCTTCACTCTTGCCTCCATATATACTATCTAACTAAGAGCTATGTAGCGATGTCCTATAGGACCTCCAATATGTGTTGACTTTACTAGCTACATGTCTTATCTTGCAAGGCAAGTTATCTATATATGCGCCACATAGTTGGCTTGTTCCACAAGCTATTACACGGAGGTAACTTGTTCCACAAGCTACTAATACATGGTTAGCTTTTTGGCCAAGTTTCTAACCTACGAACATATCTAAAGTCAAAACCATGTCTATAAAGCTTCTAAGAAGCTTCTCTAGAAGACTTTATGAAATTATTCTATTTTACCTACTTCTACTTAATCATATAAGTAACTATTGAGGTAAATATATATATCCATGACAATGGCTCAATCAAAGAATTTTATTCATCCTTATTTTCTACACAAAATTTGAAAGTTAGATATATATATATATATATATATATCAAGCATTATATATGTGATATGAAAATTTTAACAATTATCTTATTAAAAATAATTTTTGTTGTAATGAACTAAATTCTATTCTATCTATCTAGATATGTATATATATATATATATATATATATAAAGAGAGAGAGAGAGAGAGAGAGAGAGAGAGAGAGAGCTAATGTATCAAAAAATTTCATGTTAGCATTATATGTTAATAATTTTATTATTATTATTAATATACAATTCTAAATGCTACTAAAAGATTTTTAGCAAGTGCCTTTGAAATGACCAACAAAGGATCTATTGAAAGTAGAAACAATTGTTTAGATTTGATGGTTGAATGTAATAAAATAAATAAATCTATGACTTTATAATATACTAAATATATAACAATTTTTTTTACAAGATTTAATATATATGATTATATTCATGTCCCAACTTCTCTTGATTAACATTAAGTAAAGATATGAATCCAATTAATAGTTATATGTCTTTTGAACCATCAATAGTATTTTTTTACATATGCTAAAGTAATAAAAATAATAATAATTAATAACTTGATTATAATTGAGTAAATTTTAAATATTTTCAAATCACACATTTAGAATGCCATTATAAAAAGCACCAAGATATCTTTCAATATTATGGTACTACAACTATTGCATATTTCTATGTAATCAAAGTAAGGTTAAAAATTAGTATAATATTGATAATTATGTAAAATCACATAAAATTAAAATTATCAAAGACTTGTCTAATTTTATGTAATTTTATATGAAGTATTTAATGAATTGGTTTTTGAGGTACCAAGTATGGTTAAAAAATTATTTAGACCAATCTTATTATATATGTAGTGTTATTTATATTGAATTTTTGTAGTTATAGATCTATTTTGAATGTTTCTTAAATTTAGCTTTATAAATAGTGATTAAGTCAAATTAAATCTTAAGAAAATAATCACTGTTTATAAAGCTGTATAAATAGTGATTAAGTAAAATTAAATCTTAAGAAAATAATCACTGTTTATAAAGCTGTATAAATAGTGATTAAGAAAATAAGAAAATAATTTATAATTTCTTAAACATTTATTAAATTCTTTTTTAAGTACTATTATTTATTTTACTAAATAAACTATTTCAGATCAACATGCCGAATCACATAAATACCAAATATATTAAAATAATTGTTTAATACATTATAAAACTATGTTCTATAAGACTTTTATCATGTGTTTTTAATTTTTTAATTTTAAGAAATGAAGTTTTTGAATACAACCAAATTTATTTTAAATAACCAGTTCGCCATGCCCTCCTCAAATCACTACTCCTGCCACTTCTGCATGTTCCAGATTTCGCGTATCTTCATCCATCCATCCTCCCCCCCCCCCGAGTTCATCGGCGCATCAAAGCTCGTGTACAAATGCGGCGTGCCACGTCAACTCTCACGAGCCTGAAAGAGAGAGGCCAGGGTCTCGTCACCCTCGCGGATTCCGTCAGTAGTGTCGGGGGCCGTTAACGGCCGCACATGCCCGGCTCTGCCCGGCCCAGTTCAGCCTAGCGCGGGGAGGGGGTTGTGCATGGTGGGGTAGTTCCTGGAGCAATGGCGGCTTGACTGAATGCCGCGGCACTCTTCTCTCTCTGCTGCTGCTGATAATGCACTCACATGTTCTAAGACAGGGACCAGAGTTATGGTGAGGTAAAGCCAGGATTCAATGCCGCGATCACCTGCCTTTTCATTCTTGCGTAGTAAGTGCAGGAATCACCGTAGCGCTCAATTGCTCCAGTCTGTTTGTAGGGTGTAACATTGTGATGCGCCGCAGGTCTGTTGTCTCATTAGTTTTGTGATTGTCGGTCCTGTTCGTTTCACCAGCTACTTCTGCAAGACTCTGCGTCAAGTTGACACACGCATTGTAAGTCAGAGGAGCCAGGCGAGATTGGGAGAATCGCGACCAAGGTGGTGGCATTGTTGCTTAAGGTGTAGTAAATCGAGACGTTCATCAATCGTTTAACTTCTTATCATTGAGTTGAGGATGTGGCCTTCAATACGGGTGATTGAGAGCGCGTGCTGTGTAATTTATGGCAGCAGCTCAGTGCAATGCTCCAGCAGCTCGAAACTGAATGCTCATAGGACATTGTGGTAGTATTGCAGGGAGGGGCCATTGATGGATGTTTACTTAATAGATCGTAAGCTTCACAGCAGATTCTTGAACCTTACAAACACAATGTTTCGTAGGCTTTGGTTGGTGTTGCTGATGTTTATTCCCATGAAGGTTGTCGAACTGGTAATTCGTATTACTGTCTTTTGCTCTCTCATGTTTTTACTATTGCAGTACAGATTAGGCCAAGTGAAATCCTAAGTGAGGGGTCATACTCGGTGACCCACTTCCTCGAGTAGTTAGTTACCAGCTGCGCGTGCTCCATGCCAGTTGCCGTTACGCCATCTACTCTGCTTGTTCCCCCTTCCATTGTAGACTGCCTGGCCTACCCTCTTTCCCTCGACTTTGGCTTCTCCTGACTATTCCTCGTTAGGTAGCATTGCTGCGAGAAAAGTTTTGTGGATATGCCTGTAGGCTTGAGAGTGCGTCATTGAGTTGCTCCTCCATCTCTTCAGTCCACATTGTCCCTCCAAAAAAAATAGATTACGAGACTTTATAGAAACCATAAAACTCTTTTTTGAGACTACAAAATTTGCATATTGTCCTCTTGTGCTTGTGTTTGTTCCCAGTTGATCAGAACATGGTCGTCCACCAAGCTGCATTGTACATTTTTGGAGCTTCTTATTCTCCTATTAATCCTAATTTTTTTCTTTGTCACCCGTTTCATTGCAGCTGCATTGCTGTGTAAGAGTAGGTCTGGACCCCTAGTTATTTGCTTCTTCAATTTTCCATGAGAAAGTTGGTCATGCGGAAGCGCTGTTGCGCCCGGGTGGCCAGCAACATATGAAGGTGACAGACAGTTGCTTCTCATCACCTTCGTGGACAGAAGAAGGTGCCGTATTTTGAGCGTCAGTACTTCTCAGAGCACCTTCATGAGGGCGGCGGAGATGGCGTCGACATCTCTGAATTATGAATTGCAATGGGCGTTCCTCAGCATAGTCCTGACAACGCGTTCATTTGTGAGCGCGGCAAACTTCGACTATGGTGACGCACTGCACAAAAGTTTTCTGTTCCTGGAAGCTCAGCGGTCCGGCAAGCTGCCTGCCAATCAGAGAGTGAACTGGCGAGGAGATTCCGGCCTCTCAGATGGAAGCTCCGCAGGAGTAAGACCTTCGTTTCGCGTTCTAGATGGGTGACTGTTTTATCTTAAGCATAGAAAAAGTTGTGAAGAGGATGTAGACATGCTCGCCAGCTGACAATTAAATATGATATATGTAGGATATAGTCATTGGTTCATTTGCTTTACGATTATTTGTACTTGTAATGTAGGTGGATCTGGTTGGTGGTTATTACGATGCTGGTGACAATGTCAAGTTTGGCTTGCCTCTGGCATTCACTGTTACCATGCTGTCGTGGAGTGTTCTTGAGTACGGATCACAGTTGCAGTCTCAAGGACAGTTGCAGTACTCCTTGGACGCTATAAAGTGGGGGACTGACTATCTCATCAAAGGTAAAAATCCTCTGAAATTTAAGTAACAGCATGGTTGATGACACAGTTTGAAAGAATTTTTAGACTTTTTCTTTTAAATTTCGTACTAATGAATTGTTTTGGTGTTGGCAGCTCATCCAAGTCCCAATTTCCTTTATGGAGAGGTACTTAACATGACATCCTTTTTGATAGCTGCAGATAATTTTCACTGAATGCCTGCATGTGGAAGTATTGCCTTGCACGCTTATAAAGCATTTCATAGGAAATGCGACTTAAACAATAGTGTTTGCGACACGTTCCCATGAGAAAAAAATTCCCTGGATCATATAGGTGGGGGATGGAGATTCCGATCATCTGTGCTGGCAGAGGCCGGAAGACATGACCACAAGCCGCACGGCCTACGCAATCACTCCACAGAGGCCAGGATCGGATCTGGCCGGTGAAACGGCTGCAGCTATGGCAGCTGCATCGTTGGCGTTTCGAAGCAGTAATCCCTCGTACTCCGACGAGCTCCTTTTGCATGCTCGACAAGTATGACCACCCGGATGGCATGAACAGCATTGTCATTATGTCTCAGTTTCTAATCAGATCCCAGTCAGCTTGATATGCATTCATGGACTTGAATTTGGTGCTTTTCATTTGAAAGTTCTTGAAAATTGTTTTTACATTTAGAAAAAATCGTTCCTACTTCTCCTCATACGTTCTTGCCTCGCTCAATAACTTGTGTTTTAAGTTAATGTTGTGAAGATTTGTGTAATGCCTTATATCGAAAGGGATCTATCTTTAAACACATTTCGTCTTCGCAGCTGTTTACTTTTGCCGACACATATCGTGGCAAGTACGACAGCAGTATACCTCAAGCGAAGAAGTATTATCAATCAACAAGTGGATATGATGTATGTCGAACTCTATAATCTCTCTTCTAGAATATAGCTTATAATTAAGAGTACCAATCTGTCTTGACTTCCGAACATCCTCAACTCTTTAAACTCCTTGAGACTGGTTGTGTTCTAGTTGTATTATGACTTCTGTAGCAAGGGTGCCCGTTCACTCACTGTTTGAGACTCATTTAAATCCGCAGGATGAGTTGCTTTGGGCTGCAGTGTGGCTGCATGAGGCTTCTAGAGAAGATGGTTATTTGAAGTATGTTGCTGATAACGCGGATCTACTGGGTGGCACGGGGTGGGGCATGGATCAATTCAGCTGGGATAACAAGTATGCCGGAGTTCAGCTCAAAGTCACGAAGGTATTCCTGCTTCCATGCATGTGTCTAAAACCAATTGCTCATTTTTATATTTAAAATTTAAACTATTTTCCGGCCGGAATGCATGTTGACATTCTATTTGTAGAACATCTCGAGACCTCAGATGTGAGAAGTTGTAATATCCTATATTGCGTCATTGTTCACTCGGTGTATGTTGATTCCCTCCCTTTCGTTACAGCCAAAATCATGTTAGTTTAACTGTACAAGTGAGTACTAACTGAGCGAAAGTGAATATATGTTCCAGCTGCTTCTCAATGGAAAAGCCGGAGATTACACCTCACCATTTCAACGCTACCAAGAAAAAGCTGAGTATTATCTGTGTGCCGCCATCCACAAGAACCATGGTCTGCAGATGCCAAAAACGCCTGGTAACACTCTTCAGTCTTCAGAGCTACTTGCTTTAATTATGTGAATAATTTAAATTTTTACTATTAGAATAAATTTTAGCAGAAGAGTCAATGTATCCTTGTATAAAATCCTGTATACATGTATCTACCAGCTATGTGCATCATGCGAGCAGGAATTGTTGGATGCTGGATTGGATGTCGCTAATGTAACAAATTCCACTATGCAGGTGGCATGTACTGGATATTCTACTGGAATCCGATGCAGTATGTCACCACCGCTGCCTTCCTGTTAACCGTCGGACATGATTATTACTCTTCATCAGGCCAGCAACTGTCGCATTGCTCATCTCCTGTTGATAATGCTGAGCTTCTTGCTGCAGGAAACGCGCAGGTGGGCGGGACATGCTGGATGAAACATATGTTGCTCTATTTGCTCCTTGAAAGTCCTAAATTTTCTTTTCACTCAAACTTGTTTGAAAAGTCTGTACCTCATGTTCTCATGGCCAATGTATTTGATTCTGCCTCTTTACTTGTGTAAATCGATTGGACATGGTTCTCTGGTGTAGGTGGATTACATTCTGGGTAACAACAACAGGAGAATAAGTTATCTTGTCGGTTTCGGCGAGAACTACCCTCAAAGAGTGCACCACAGAGCTTCTTCCATGGTAGCCTTCAACAAGAATTCCGGATTCATTGGTTGCAAGGATGGCTATGCCAATTGGTACAACGCCCAAACGCCCAATCCCAACCTTCTCGTGGGTGCGGTTGTTGGCGGTCCCGACCAGAATGATAACTTCATCGATCAAAGAGATGCATATCTCATGACTGAGCCGGCGATCTACAATACAGCCCCCTTGGTAGGGGTACTTGCTCGGCTGCAAGCTGGCGGGAGTACTCAATACGCAGGTCTACTTTTCTCACTCAGATATGTCCATTCTTGGTTGGACTAGCTATCCCTCTGTACACTTCGAGGGATTCATTACCGAAATCACGTTCAGCTTTAAACTACATTTATTTGTGCTGAATCTGACGAGAGGATGTCATCTTGATCTGTTGGGTATTCTGGGTGCAACATCGTTCAGAATTGAATCAATCTGCAGTTTCTGCAGTACGCTCTGCCACACAACAAAGCAAGATATTTCATGGGGGCTCCCATGCTCCACATTTGGCATTCCCACCAGTTCGAGTCGTGCAGAAGCTGCAGGAGGAATGGAGCTACGGAGGACAGCGCTACTTCAAGTATGTAGGGTCGTTGGAAAACTCATCCAGGCACACTGTGAGCAGCCTCACTGTTGTCATTCACAGGTTATATGGCCCTCTGTGGGGGTTGACGCCCCAGCAAACCAATGGCAATTCATATACCTTCCCTTCTCACACCAAAGCTTTGGCCCCTGGTCAGAAAATAGACTTTACTTACATTCATCACAATGAGGAGGCCCAAATATTTGTAGGCAGGTACACTCTTGTTTAGACCTTCACTTCAGGCCATTGCAATGTCCCGCTAGTGTAACTTGTTCCGAGCTGATGCCTTGCAGGCCAACCGAACACACTATTTTACACGAGGTCAATCTTTGTTACAGATCCTAATGATAATTAATAATTAGCAACGGGTCTTTTCCAAGGTCCCTCCAGATGGATCCTTTGTCAGAAGTGTTTTCTATAATATACGATAATTTTTTTGTGCTCTAGAAGCTTCATTATGTGTAGCTTTTGCGTCGTCACTGCGAGTGAATTGTTTCTTTCAGCAATTTCTTGACGAATAGCTCACCAGCTATTAAATTAGGATATCTACTGGCTGGAAACAAGGATGCATGTGTTTTGATCTACCATACTGAACAGCTTGTCCTAGACAACTCTTTGATGGAGTTCGATAACTACCGATTTATTTTGTTCTCTTAGAGTTTCTAAAAAACAACCCTGCTGTGCCGTCTGCGTATTATCTTAGCTGGTTTGAAATGTTTCAAATGGAAAAACATACACACAGGACTTGTTTTCATTCATTGTTGTAAGTATGTGTGAATATCTGTATTCCCTGCATTGTTCTAGGTTATTTTAATCTCAAATTTTATGAAAAAACTTATCGTTGAATTTATAGATCTATTCTTCATAACTGAGTACTTTTTAAATTAATTTAAAATTAAATTGCCCATACAAATTTGTTCTCTTGATTGTGAGGTTAAATAGTTTTTGTGTCTCTGTGCTTAACTTGTTTAGTACTTCGAAATCATTTTTGTAAATGATACTTATGTTTGTTCTTTGTATACAGTCGATTTTGTTTTAATAAACATCAACTTAAAAACCTAGATACAAACTTCAAATACTATAATGCAGCTCTTGTGAACTTATTTGATGATTGAAAATAATAGGATAATTCAACACTGATATTTGTACAAAAAAACAAATAAAATCTATATTAAAATTCATACTAAAATTTTATAAATAATAAAATTATTTCATATGATTTTTTATCAATAATAAAAAATTAGAAATCTTAAAAATGTACTTAAAAAATAAATTAATTAAGTAGTATATTTATTGAAACATACAAGAAGTAATTGAAAAAGAAGCGTTGAAATTACTTATACTAAGAATATTGAAATAAAGGATATTTTTAGGTTAGTTATTTACTTAACATTACATAAAAAAGATTAAAAAATTAAAGATGTAAATTCTATTTTTTTTTAGGTTAATATATCCTCTACATAATTATTATATAAGTACTTTGTAATCACTACATAAAAACCATATAATCTCTTCATTGCCCTAATTAATATTTAAATTAACTACCACTTTTTTCTAATCATTCTAAATTTGATTAATATTTAATCAAGTCATTGTTTTTTAGGCATAAACAACAAATGTTATCATCATTTAACATTCACTTTGCAAATTATCAAATCTATTCAGCACTATCAATCATATTAAATAAGGATGTTTATTCCTTACTGTAGCTTTTATTATCATATTTGCCACTATATAATATATGGAATGTTTCTCTAATTTAATTGTTTGTTTTTATCACCTTCTCAATTTCAATGTGATATTATGTTTGTAACATTCTTTAATTTTGCATGATACACCAAACTCTTGGCAAAAGCAATTATACCTTAAGTTTTATATACAATAAAATGCCTCAATCTTGCTAACATTCTAAATATATTAAAATTGATTAAGTATAATTTTTCTTTTATTTTAGATTAACATTATGTATTTGCATTAATAGAAGAAATATATATATATATATATATATATATAGATATATCTTCTTTATATTTATATTTGTAATTTTTTAATTATAGTTGTTCTTTTTACTCTATTATACAATCTTTTTTCTTAATATTAGCATAATGTATAAATTTGCTCTTATGTATTTCTAAACATTTCAATCATTGGACTAGTTTTCTTTGCAACTTTTTTAAAAATTGTTATATTGGTATCTAAGTTGTAGTTTTAGGTAGATGTGACTTCAAGGTATATTATGATCTTTATATCCATCCAATTGATCCACCTTAGTTTGGCCATGTCTTAATACACAATATTAATTGCAAATTTATATTCTAAGAAAGGTACATATCAATCTATTAAGAAGATGAATATATAAAAGACATGGGCAATGTACATTATGCTAATATTAAGAAAAATACATTGCTATTGCCCATAGATGACAAAACATCCAATATAATTTTCTAATGCAAGCATTGCAAAGCCAACCTTTTGCTCATTATCAATGAATTAAATGAGGATTTTAGATAATATACTTCCTCTCATTCCCTCTCTACCAATGGTGAGATTTGAAGCCAAGATATTCTAGGTGCAATCCCACAACTTCATCATCCTTCCTATTTCCACAAGTTCTTAGCCACCATTTGATGTCCAAAGGCTAAAAACTTAATCTTATAAGGTTGAAATCCAATCTATTCTTATTTTTTAAAGCTTTGTTGCCAACAAACTATGGCACTTCTTGCTTCTAAAATCTATTCATTTATTTATAAACTTACTTAAAACATGCTTACCAAATTTTATCTAAAACCAATTGGTTTATGATGCCACTCTTAAACTGAGTAGTAGTCTTATGAGGATTTAAATCAATTCTACCCATGATGTCAACTACAATAGCTTTGATAGCTCTAAGCAAGGCTAGCTGACCATTAATGAACTTAATATATAGAATCTCTTGAAGATTGATGAAGTCATTGGCATCTCCAAAGTTAAGAGTGGGTGTGTAAGTAAGTCAAGTCAAAGCAATATAAGGTGCATTTTTATTGAATGGTAGAGATTCATTACCTTTCATATTTAAGGCCTATTAATACGTTATATATACAGTGACAAACAAAACCGAGTACAAAATCTGAACACTCATAGTTCATTGATCCTTCCAACTGACACATAAGTCAATTGATAGAATTACTTTTTTATTGTGTGTATTCATCCAGTCCTCTACATGGATGAAAAATCTCATTATCATTTGAAGTAGGATTTATGAGAAAAGTGTTGTAGAAGCACACAGATGTACGTACTCAGTTTTGGTTGCTTCTTCTTGCTTAATTTCGAAATTTCAATGTACACTCCTTGTTGCAAGATTTGACGGCATTTTTTGTTTGTTGTGTTGCTCTTGTTGTGTACTATCTATAGTGAAAGTTGATTTGTCAATTGTATCTCTATGCCTCGGTTGTATGAATTATTGAACCACCAAGCATTGGTGCACCTTAGGAGTGGTGTTTCTACAAGAAAAGTTGCAGACTCACTTGGAATGAGTCAGTCTTCAGTAGCTCATCTAAGAAGGGAGATTAGTGGTGAAATAGAAAAGCAAAGAGGAGGACGTCCAAAGGTTTTAGGAGAGCAAGAGAAGCGACTTGGTGTGCACCTTGTCACTACTGGTTGTCTCAAAACGGCAAGTACAGCTGCAAAACAACTTCGAGAAAAAATAGGTAAATACTTCTCAGACATCACCTTGAGGCGTGGTTTGAGAGAAGCTGGTTTGGGTGCTTGTGTGCAATAAAAGAAGCCACTACTTGCCAAAAGACATGTTCTTGCAAGGTTGAGTTTTGCTCATAAATACAAAAATTGGACCCTTGATGATTGGAGACGGGTTATTTTTAGTGATGAGACAAAGATTAACCTAATCAACTCAGATGGTAGGTCTTGGTGTTGGTTGAGAGAAGGAGAACGACCTGGACCTAAACATGTTAGTCAAACTGTCAAACATGGTGGTGGTTCAATTATGATTTGGGGTTCTATGACTGCTTTTGGACCGGGTGTTTGGTATCAAATTGAAGGTAGAATGGAGCAACACTTGTACAAAAAAATTTTAGAAACCTACTTGCAAAGTACTACACAGAATTACAACTTAGATCCTACTAAGGTGGTTTTTCAACATGATAATGATCCCAAACATACGGCAAAAAGTGTTCAGTTTTGGCTCTCTTCACAGCCATTTCAGCTCCTTTGATGGCGAGCTCAATCTCCAGATTTGAATCCAATGGAACATTTTTGGGCCCTTCTCAAACAACGTTTAAGCCAAGTCACTCCAAGGCCAAGAGGTGTTCAAGAATTGTGGGAGAATGTTTGTAGTATTTACCCTAGTTTTGATGCAAAAGATTGTGAGAAACTATACAAAAGTATGCCAAGAAGGATTTCAGCTGTTTTGGAAGCAAAAGGTTATTGGACTAAATATTGAAGTTTGAAGATTTTCTTTGAACAATACTGAGTACAAGACATAGTTGTTGATTTGACTTTGTAGAAGGATGTTTAGTTATCAATTTGATGTGCAACTTTGTACATGTGTACAAGACTGTGTGTATTATTCCATGTAACTTTCAGATTTATAAAGCAATCATTGAAATTTCTGTAATTGCTCTTGAAAGTTGGCACTTCAGATTTTGTACTCGGTTTTGTTTGTCACTGTATATATATATTGTAAAAATATTGATCATATATATTAGCATTTTACAATAAAATTTAATATCTAAAGTTAATGTTAATAATTGTAAATATCTAAATGTTAATAATTGTTACAAATATTTACACTAACTATATATGATCAATATTTACAATTATTAGCATTTTACAATAAAATTTAATATCTAAAGTTAATTCTAGTAGTAGAGATTAAGATGGACAAAATGAATTGGCTTCAATCCAAAATTAACTTCTGTAAGGTTGACTATAATAAAAGTTGATTATATTTAGAAAGTAAGTTAAATTCATTACTTTACACATCAATATTATCCAAACTAAGTAAAATATACATACAATAATCTTTTAACTAACATCATTCATTGCAAGAAAAAGTATTAATTATGAAAGGTTATCAATCATGAAAGGTAGTCTATTAAAAGCAAGATAGAAACCATTCCTATCAAGATTTTACAATCTAAGCTACTCACTTTGTCTTTGCAGCCACATAATCCTATTGGCCATCTGACCTTGCAACATCTAATCACATGTAGCTACATGGTCTAGCCAATCACACATCTTCTTTTAATACTCTTTATTATTTAATAAAAATTAATAAATTATTAGAAATCAAAGATTGATGATATATATTTAAGTATTAAATTGAATCCCAAAATTCTAATTATTTGCTCTAGACTATAGATTATTAGTTTTTAAGGAATTAATTAATAAGGATCATTATATCTCTAATAATTCATTACAAATAAAAAAACGTTTTAACTTATTAAAAATCTTTTGTTGATAGAATCATTTATTTTTAGAATAAGAGTGTACAATGTAAAAAGTAGATCTTACATTTAAGTTTTAAATAATATTGATCTACATGACTCTCAAACTAAATTAAATTTACCATTATCTTGTTAGTGATAAGTACAAAACTTTAAAACTACGTGGATAAAAAAGTGTAGTAAATTTCATAAATCAAACTCAAACTTTGACTCAACATTAAATTTACTTAGTTACAACTGAGAATCACAGTACAAAATGATTAATGCCACAAATAGTGAAACCACTTTTGATTGAATGTATTCAATACACAATTATTCTAATAACCATTCAATTACAGTTACTTAAACAATACCGAAAACCTGATTGCTCTAAGACAGTTCGGTTTTTCACACTTACGAACAAGACTTCAAAATTGAACACGCCTCTCCTGACTACTGTTCTTGGCATTCATGGATCTGCGGCATTGGCAAGCTCACCCGAAAGGCATACAAAAGCATGCCACGAATGAAGACACAGCATTTCCTGAATTACTGAAAGCAATCATTATCAGGAACAAAAGATCTGTATAAAACTAAAATTGAAAGCATAACAATATTCGTTTGCCCCATAACGTTAGAAGAGAAAACAAGAGCGACGATTCATAACGGTCACTCAGCTTACCAATTACCAACTCCAATCAAGAGTAATTATGATACATTTAGTCTCCAACAGGTGGAGAAGACCTAATAGAGATCACGGTGAAGTGCTACAAGCTCCTTGACATGTAAGCCTCGCACTTACCAGAAAATCCCGAAAGTCATTACTTGAAGAACCTGGCACAATACCACCCGATTATACAAGAGTCCACGTCTACATTTAAGTAAGTCTCAGACGGACAATCCTAAAAGTGCTCATGCTGACATATTTATGAAACACTGCTTTAACTAGTACAACCTCTCGACCACTCATAGAGAATAGCCTTCTAATGGTCAATCTCCCTTGAAACCGGCACAAACTTCCCATATCTAAGTAAAACCTGCACAAGTGCTCAACAATCCATTTAAAATCTACCTCCAGAATACTAGCAGTCTTTGAAAGGGTGCTGCAATCCTTACATTGGAAGAAGCATACAGAATCCCCACAGCTGCGATAGAGAGCCCCACAGAGAACTGCTGGACAAAAAAGAACTAACTAGTATGTAAAAAAGAAAAAAACGAAAGAAAAAAAACAGAAACGTAGACTCTCTTTATGCTTTCCGCCGGGTTTCTGGTGTCAAGGAGCCCCGTTCCAAGAGCTCTGTTAAATTCATTCGCATCTTCTCCAACGAAATAGGTTTCATGATGACACCATCCATCCCCAAATCGAGACATTTTCCCCTCGTTTGCTTGTCAGTATTTGCAGTTAGAGCCACCATTAACGGCCGCTCATGCCGAGCAAACTTTTGCTGTATGCGAATAGCCACTTCGTAGCCATCCATTTCAGGCATGCAGACATCTAGCAGTAGCACTTGGAAATTCTGTCCAGGCTGAGAGATAACTTGCAGGCATTCGCTGCCGGAGCTAACAACAGTCACCTCACATCCAAGCCTCGTAAGTAACCCCCGAGTAACCATCCGATTCACCCTGTACATCACATTGAAGTAAGTTAATGTCTAGGCACAAGTACAGATGTAAAAGCAGCCGCACAATCAATAAACGAATCAATACAGGACCCTAACATGAAGTAACAGAAAGCTCAAGCGCATCAAACAAAAGACATTGGCTATCGAGACACCTTAGAAGAGCCGATGCAAATGATGATACATGCGAGCACATTAATAAAAACTACAATGATATCAGTCAATCAGAACTCAAGAGACATACCCATTATCATCTGTGACAAGGACCTTCACACCGCTAAAATCGGTTCGCAGATGTACTGATGCAGGAGAGGGAGTAATTTGCCTATCTTGTTCATTTGGTTTCTCAGGTAGGCTTAGTCTGACACTAAAATTGACGGTGGTACCCTTTCCAATGCCTTCACTCTCAACCCATATGTCGCCGCCCATCAGGGACACGAACCTGCACAATGAAATAGTTTATCCACTTCTTCAGATTGCATGTCGTCGGATCGATAATCACAGGACAAATGGTCACAACATCAACGAAGAACATGACATCTGCAACAAAAAGTAATAGTGACCGATTGAGTTACCTCCTACAGATTGCCAAGCCCAGGCCTGTTCCTCCGTAATTTCTAGTAGGAGAAGAGTCAGCCTGGAGAAATTTGTTGAAAAGATTGGGAATATCCAAAGGATTCAGGCCCACACCAGTGTCGACCACCTGCCATGCACAAACTTTGGACATCAAAACTAAGGACAAAAACAAAGGATCAACATGCATCTAACTTGACAAGGAAACTTTCAAAAGAACTTGTGATGTAGCCTATCATAGACACTTACATCAGCAATGCTATGATTTTTGCACGTCACAGTAAGTGCAGTTAGTTAACTCCAAAATTTCTGTACCTCAACTCTAATGTAGCAATGTTGCTCTCCCAAAGAAAGATGATGATCCCTTTGCGAGCGGGACTCTACTTGCGATAGAGGTTCTCTGAGAGAATGAGGCTCAGACCTTTGATAATCTGTTCTATCCCTATCAAGAATAACATGAATGGTCACGCTGCCCTCTTTCGTGAACTTCACAGCATTCCCAACAACATTGAGAACAGTTTGCATGAGCCGTTTTTCATCGCCCACCACAAACTCTGGTAGGTCTCCATCCAAAGTCAATTCAGATTTGAGTTTTTTCACTGAAGTTATCGGTGCAACTAATTTCATAACCTGCAAAAAAATCATCAAATTGATTAACACATTAAGGATAGTCAGCTATCCATACCTACCAAATATTGTTCAAAATCTATAAATCGAACTTTCAACGAAGTCAATAAGTATTTAGTAGTTTCCACCCTATGACATGATAATGAAGAAAGCCGGCGCCAATAGATTTTGAACAGAAGTGATTGAAGATAACATGCGCAACCTCTTTGAAAACGATTGGTAGGTTAAAGACCCGGGTCTCTAACTCCAAGCTTCCGTCTTCGAGCCGAGAGAGATCAAGTACATCGTTGATTAAAGTCGCTAATAAGTTGCTGCTTTTGAGAATAGTATCCACCATTGAACGCTGTTCGGGCGTCAATCGTGTCTCCTGGAGAAGGGAAGACAAGGCAATAATCGCATGCATGGGTGTACGCATCTCGTGGTTCATTACAGCTAGAAAATCATTCCGAGCACGTATGGCTGTCTCAGCTTCACGCCTTGCCAGGTCCAAAGCCACATTTTGTTCCACAAGAAGGCTGCGGGCTCTCATGGACTCTTCCAGGATTGCAGCATGTGACAAAGCAACAGCCACCTGCATAAAGAAGACTAGTCAGAATCTTATGACGGTATAGAATAGATAAGCTTCTCGAAATTGCCAGACAGACTAAAATACTAACTGACATCCAATACGAACCGCAAGCATATCCACATTGACTACTACAAATTCCTCGACCAGCAGTAGGAAAGTTCAGGAAAACGCGACTCTACAGAAAGAAGGAGAAGAAGAAGAAACTAATCATTTTTTAAAAAAGAAAGTAATCACCAAACCTGGTCTGCCACAGTCTCCACGAGCTGTAATTGATGAACGTGCCACCTACGAGCACTATCGCAAGGTAGCATAAGGACCATCAACGCATATGCCCGCTTCGAGTGGCTCTCAGGCCAATCAGTATGGAAGTTATTAAGAGGGAGAAGTGGGACCCGCACAGCTACGCAATCTCCCATTGAATACTTTCCTTGGCGGGATCTGATTAAGCAAACAGGGCTATTGGGTGTAATCATAATTGCTCGATGATTACTAAAGACTTGCTTTACTACTGGGTGATGTATAGGAACTGTAATATGCGTTTGTTCAAGTTGTCGCAGTGAATGCGTGAGCAACAAGTCCTGACCAAGCCGGGTTGGCATCCACAAAGTGCATTCCTCGAGGTCAAGTGCCTTTCCCAACTCAGCCAGTGTTGTCTTCAGAATAGTCTGCCGGTCAAGTGTACTCCGAATCTCATGAGTAAGCATGCGAACATGACGACCAGTCTCCTCTCGAGTTCGTATCAACCCCATCTCCCTGTCTAACTCTGCTGCCTTGTTCTTCAGAAAAAGCTCCCGAGTTTTAGCACTAAGCAGGTCTGGAATGATATGGATAAGCATAAGGGCAGTAGCGCAAGACACTACCGCGGTAAAAATCTTCGCTACAGTGAGCACCACAGCTACCGTGCGGGTATGGGGACTAAAAGTCCACAAGTTGATAAGATGTGTAGACCCACAGAGGACGATGAAAGCCCCAAACTGTACAAGCACCCATCGGTATGGAAATATAGAAGATTTCTTAACAAAATATATCAACTCAAGCGGAATCGAAAAGTATGCCAGGGCTATAAAAAAATCCGACACATATTGATAACGCATAAGAAGGTCGTCTGCTGGCCATTGCGGTTCGACACAATGGCATGTATCCATCTCTTCCGCTAACCCTAGGGATCTACGGTGATCCCGAAATTATCCTCCACAAGAGTGAGCGTTGTCACCCCTCTATATACTTCGAAAAATCTAGCCAATAATGTCTTGGTCTCCTGCATGCCTAGAAATCCAGAGACGATTTCAGTTCCATACAACTTCCAACCTTGAGATATTAAAGGCCGATCTAAGCCAAATGAAATCTTAGTTATCAAAAAAGACCCAAGAGTGCACGAAACCGAAAAAAGAAAGAAGACAGGATCAGTGCAGGAATCCTAGTCATCAGCAAGTGCTGTCCACCTCCCAAACCTAAACAAAATGAAAAACAAGAGGACCGTTGCCGCTTCATGCCCACCAAACATTGTATGGTGTTATGCACACGAAGTCTCCCTTAGAGACATACCTTACATGAGGACTAAACATAAGAGATTATGTGTGGGTACCTCTCAATCTAATACTACCACTTTCGATACAATTTCCAAATGTCTACCTGTTCTTCGTTAACAGAATCCCAAAATTGAGCCAATAACACAAACCATGTCTAGGAATTGAATTTGTTCATTCCAAAAGACCTGGACTTCTTAAGTTCAAAAAAAAAAAAAAAAAAAAAAAAAAAAAAAAAAACTCTTAATTCCAAAAATACACGAAAAAGTGATGTTCGAATTAATTTCCAAGCTTGATAAGTCACTCCAGTAGCCATACCTGAAACGAGTGCTAAACAATGAAATCTAGCTCGAGTGACTGGTGAACTCAAAATCCAAAAACTAACAATGACCCCATCTAACATCCACGGCAATCTCTCTCGCTCTCTCTCTGTTTTCATATATATATATATATATATATATATATATATGAAAACCAGGAAACCCGAAAACCTAAAATTTGGGAGAAACCTACAAACCTTCAATTCAATTCGCATAGGGCAACCCCATTTCGGAACTCACTCACCACTCCAATTATCTGCACCCCATTTCGATTCCACCCCTTTCACCTACAACTCCAAAACGCAACCCCTACTTTGCCTCAAATTAACCCGTCGCACTCATGATCCTACATGAACATCATCGCCGCATACAACCACACGCCCGAAAAAAAAAAAAAAAAAAAAAACACCTCACACAAACTCACTCATCCGCGAGCGGCTCACAACGCGCGCGCACGCTCCGCCAGCTGGAGCGCGAAGATCCCCGCAGCGCAACGGAAATGCAGCAAAAGCAAAACTGGGTGACTCCTCCTCTTCTAGCAACTCCCTCCAGGCTCTCACCCGAACCGTTCCCGCAAGCACACCCTTCGCTCACGTTTCCCTCACAAGCCCCGGGCATGGCGCACGACGACACTGCAAACCCCGTGATCACAGCAACACACCACAGCACTACTACAGAGGAGTAGTAGCTCGAGGGTGCAAGCAGGGCATGTCACTGCCAGCCTCCTGCTGCTCCAATGGGCAGGCAGAGTGTGTACAGCACTACTCACTCATTTCTCAATCTTCCTCTTCTTCTTCTTCACGTCGGAGCGGGGCCTCCTCCTAACGCAGGCAGGCATGCAAAGTGGCAAACCTGGCCTCCTCCTCAGGCCCAAGGGAACATACAATAAGTTATGCTGCCTGGTGACGTCGTCCGGTATTCACCTTCACAGCACGACTCCCCCCCTCGCTCCTCTCTTCCCTCTTCTACTTCTCCTTCTTCTTCTAACCCTCCCTCCCCTTCCTCCCTCTTCGGATTCACGGCCGCGACGCCGCTCTTCTGCACTGCTTCACGCCCCCCGCCCTTGAACTCCCCCTTCTGTTCCTTCCAGTCACGGGATCGAATCCCAGGTTCTTTGCTGAGTTTGCTACGTGGCGTGCGCTCGCCGGCTCTTTGACCTGAATCAGGGCGGGTGAGGTGTCGCCTTCTCCGTCATTCTTCGTCACCTGACCTCATGGCCGTGGGGTGCCCCATCCCCGCATCCGCCGATTCTTTCCCAGCTCCGTGTCTCTTTTTGCTCTAGTCCCCTTCTTCTTCTGTCTCTCCGTATCTCTCTCCGTATCTCTCTCTATCTTTGAATATCTGACTTTGTGAAGAAGAATCCACCTGCGCTTTTCTAATCCGCACCTTTTTTCTTCTTTTTATTTTTATTTTTATTTTTTTTCCCTTCTTCTTCTTCTTCTTCTTCTTCTTCTTCTGTTTTGCTTGCATTTGTATTCAAATCCTCTTCTGGTGCTTGTGCATGCATTATCCTCTGAGCAATAGTGAGTGAGTGCTCTGAGTCTGACTACATTGGGTCAAACTTGACTTACTACTTTGTCTGCATGTTTGGTGAAATTTGCAAACCATTAACATCTTCAACTCCAAGTATATTCACTCACCTGTACAGTGGATTATCTATCTCGAAAAAGCATTATTATTATTATTATTATTATGTTGAGAAATGCTTGGAACAAGTTGTTGATAATTGTTGGATAAAGGCATTCATGCCATTTTTTTAAAGTAAAGTCTTTCAGTTGTAGATATACATATCTTTGGCATTAGTACATGGTTTTTCTTCATCTTTTCACAAATAAGTATGTTTTTCTTCTATTTGTTGTGTTTGGAACTAAAAATTTCCTTTTTTGTAACCAACTTGCTGATTTTAGTCATTGCATGCATTTTAAACATTTTAGTTTGAAGAATTTTGAATGATTTTGTTGTGAATCCATTGGTTGAATTTCAGAAAATATGATCAAATTCTGATTATGAACAAATAAATCAAAATTCCAATTTGAGTATACAATTAGGGGAATGTTAAATAGACCCAAACTTTTACAAAATTGATCTATCCATCCTAATCATCACAGGAAAAAAAAAAAAAAAAAAAAAAAAATGACATTTAGATTTGTTTCTCTACTACTCAATCTGAAACCAATGAAAACCAACCACATTCATCATGATTATCATATTATTCATCATGGGTAGATTGATTTAGTAAAAATTTGGATCTATTTAACATTGAGCTGATGTTATGTTGCCAGTAAATTCAATGTAATAAAAGAAAACATCAAATACAAAATAAAAATTAGATAAATTAAGTTTTTTTTAATTAAGTAAAAATTAAATAAATTAAGTTTTTTAAATCCACATGTTTAAATTACATAACATCTTCAAATATTTCCATTGTTGTGGATTTGTCTTTGTTTATCATTATAGAAAATATTTACCATACATGAAGTCCAATATAAACACTCCTTTTAGCTATCTTATTCTCATCTTATTTAAAATGGTTTGTAAGTATTTGTTATTTCAGATTTTGTTAAAAAGAAGGAGAAGAAAAAAAAAAAAAAAATTGATGTGTGTGTTATTTGATTTGCTAGCTTTTTTTTTTTTAAAAAAAGGCATTTTTTTCTTTTCTATTTTTTGTACTTTTTTCATTTTAAGCATTTGAGATGAATATATTTTAAATCTATTGATCAATGATTTTGTCCACGACGTTTTTCACGAATAGATTACGCCTGTTTTATCGACTAGTATGGTGAAATAGGTAATCATACATTATGTCGGAAACCAAACGAATCTTGAGTTGAAACCTGGTCGACATGCTCAAGATTTTGACAATCATCGAAGTACAGCATTACAGTGAAATCCACCGTAATAAGATAAACATAGTGTAATTTGATACACATTTAATACCTGTCAAAGAAATATTTTCTCTTTTTAGAGTAAGGTATTCACAGTGTTCAGAACAATAAAGCCAATCAAGATCCCTTCTGAAAAATCTAGCACATAGTAACAATATCTGATAGGCAAACACTGCAAGGCTCTCTACTAGAGTCTATGCACTTGCTTCCATCCGGGATGCGCGTAATAGAGTCCAAAGGCATCCAAAGGTATCCAAAGAGATCAATGTTGCAATTGTATAACGTGAACACATCCAGTGAGAAGAGAAAACAAGGCAATCGCGGGGGGTTTAATACACTCTGGGGACACAGGGAACGGCGGAGCGGAGGGCGTGACGAGCTGCGTGAGAAGAGCAGAGAAAGGGAAGAGAATTGAAGAGAAGAGGAGACATGACGCCATTCACCTCTCCAGCTCTGCACTGCCATCCCTGTAGTAGCAACCCCTACTTCCTCAAGCACCAAGCATATGGCTACAAAACTTGCACACTTGCAATATCAGGGTGCATCTGTTGAGCTAGTTTTCTAAGCGAAGGAAGGAGGACTGCCATCCAGCTGATACGCTACGTATGTTTAAAAAAACAGTGGGAGTGGTTAATAGAGAGTGAAGTAGCCGATGCAGGTGTACCCGGTGGTGGCGGCCACTATGGCGAGAGTGGGCAGCATTGTCAGGTTTACTAGGTTCTGAATGCCACACTTCCCTGCTACACTGATCAATCCGTCGGCAATCGCCCGCGCTAGCGTCCCTGCCTCTGTTGACAACAGTCCGCAGTTGAATACGCCGCGCGACATCCGCGGTGACATCACCTTTGACAGCAGCGACATGTTCACCCCCTCTAGGACGTTTGTGGACACGAAGATCACTACCGCCGCGGTAACATACTGGTACGCGCTGTAGTGTACCCAGGGGCTGTAGCACAAGATTGCTGCCACCCCTACTCCTGTTGTTACCTGTGACCAAAGCACCACCACCCTGTCTTCGTATATGTTGCTGATGCAGTTGCCCACTACCGCACTCATGGGCAACACCGTCAACCCCAGCAATGATAGAAATATTGCCACCTGCAACATATCATGCACAGGTATGTCAAATATGTGACCCCTACTGATGTCCAACGCATACATCATTTGTCTGGGTACAAGAAAGGGTTAGTAGGGGACACTGGATACCTGAGACGTTTTCCAGTTGAAGTAATAATCAGTCAGTAGGCTAGACTCCGAGATGAGAAGCTCCGATGCGAACTTGAGCATGAAGTAAACCCATAACAGGATTTTCACTGGGCGGGTCAGTTCCTTCATCAGATCACTCACAGTTTCCACCGCCTTATCCTCACCATAGTCCGAGTCTCCTTCGGTGGTGCTCTCTCTGGATTCTTCTTCGTCCGATGGATACCCTTGCAAACCGTTCGCAACATTAATGCTGCCAGATAATAGGGGTGCTACGAGTGTTGATTCATCAGTTGAAACAATACTGTCCATTGTGTTTAGATTCGCGTGAGAGCTCATTCGTCGGCATAATGCAGTTGCTCGGTCGGGCTCTTTGAAGAAAAAAAGGACGATAATCAGGTACAAACTCCAACTCAAGAACAACAACCACCCGGGGGCAGTTACAAAATTCACAGGTAGTGTCCCGTAGATCTGCATCCGCAAATTTTACATAGGCAACGATGTTAATGCACGCTGGCTGATCAAGGTGAAAATACTGGATTAATCATACGATGAACATTGCACACGTGATTGATTTCAAAAATGGAACGAAACAAAAACCTCATCGTTGCCTTCAAAAAAAATTTTAAAAAATTAAACCAGTTGTATGGGAGATAGCTACCTTGAAGTTGATTCTGCTAAGCAGACCAGCAAGGGCTGGTCCAACTGCCATACCCAAAGCACTAGCACTTATAAAAGCCGCGGATGCACTCGTGAGCTGCTTCAGAGGCACATGGTCGCATATGTACCTCCTGTTGATAGCCCTTGCCCCTCCCAAACTGCCCTCCAAGCATAAATTTCACACAGCAAGATCAATAAACAGAAATACTACAGTAACCCACTGTTGATTTGGAAGCAGTGCATTGCAGACACGCCAAGCATCATACTAATAGCGTGAATTTCACAATAAAGAGATGGAGTGGTACAGTGGATTTATGGATATAATGCTCTTACCCGCATAAAAATCGACCAATGAGGAGGAGCCAAACAGAATCGAAGTGGAGAGCTATGGCATACAAGAAGTTGCCGGCCATGAGAATGAAAGAGCTGACTATCAAAGGTGCTTTGTACGAGAAATTGGACCACCAACTATAAACAAGCGCTGAGACCAGCGCGGCCAAAGGCATGGAGCCGATTATCACTCCACACAGCGTGCCTGGCGCATCCAAAAGTTTGGCATAGTCATCTGATGAAGGTACTATTATGTAATAATTTACCTGCAGTGGTGCAAAGTGTTATCGCCTTGTGATAAGCTCAACTAGCAAGGTCGGATGGTGACATGGTCTGTTCAGCTAGGTAGGAGGATCAAGGCCATTGATAGAACTGACCTCTTGGGGAACCAGTGACAACCTATATCTCAGCGAATATCAGGCATTGACATGGTGAGGTTTAGGGGTAAATTACCATGTACAAAAATGTATTGAATAGGTTAATTTGTATGGACATGAAATGGGCTTCTTCCTGCACCAACCCAGGTATTCTTCCGGCTTCTGCTTCCTGTTGCCTCCTGCTCGGAGCTGGTAGAAGAAGCTCTTTTGATAAATATGTTTGTATATTAACCTCGTGGGTCAAGCGCTGCATCGTCTCTTCAATTGCCTGCAGATCCAGGAAAGAGAGCGGGCCCAAGATTGACCTCAGTGATCGACGGGACATAGGCTGCAACACTGCATTCAACACAGCAACGTTTTATCTTACGTGCGAGCAAAGTAGATTCAGATGAAGGGAGGAATGGGTTTATATACCTGAATAACGGGCTCTTCCTCAATAATTCGTGCTGGAAGAGCAGCATAACGAAAAAGAGAAACGGCACTGCTTGCAGAGGCTGCCTCCAGGCTCTCGTTTCGTAGCTCAGCAAGATTTCTAGATATGGTTGCGACCATTGCACCTATTCCCTGTTATGCACATGTTAAACGTTTTAGAACATGGTAAATGCATATAATAGTATGAAGTCATTACTACTAACCACCATGTCCCCAATCAAATAGGTAGTCCGGTAGTAGAGATACCACGGTGCAGTGGGAATGATTCTTTAAAGCATGCTTTGATAGTAAACTGAAAATGAAGTGAGGTTGCAAACGTCAATGATACCAACATGAGAAGTCCCTTACAATAGTGCGGAAGACTTGCTGGAGTTGGGAATAAGGATGATTGGAGCGAGAGGCGATGTACTGACCACCCAAGCGAACTCCAACCCTTTTGTCGAACTTTTTTAATATTTTTCTTAGTCCCGTGACATTCAGTTCCACAAAGTTTAGCAGTTGTAGAAGCTCTGTACCGATTTGCCTGCACAGAAGCACTTCCACATTAGGGTCACAATGTGTTGTTGTATCTCCTGCAACAGGTTGCACCTGAATTACACTTACACAATAAAGAGTCAGAAGGAATACCTGTATTCATCCATGACCTGCCAATGAACCACTACCGGGGCACTTGGCCGCTCATTGAGATCCGATCCTTCATCAACCTCAGATTCGATAAGAAAATCTGCTGTGGCAGCAGCTTCTCGTTGTTTCCGCAGTTTCTGCAAGCGCTCTGCAAGAAGACCTTGCTTCTCTATCATAAACAACACCACTTTTTCAACCTGTAGTGAATAATTCCGTCGAGTCAGCAATAGAACCATGCACATCCAAATTGCTATCTGTAATCATTCTGAGACGGTTTGCTGACCTTGCTAAACTGAAAGTAACAAAATAAATAATCAGTACAAGAATAGTCGTCGAACCTGACAGTCCAGAAGTTCGGAGAATGTTTTCACAATTTCATGACGTTCCTCAGCCCCTATGGATGAATTTTGAGCACGCGTTGAATCCTGTTTAATCCTCTTCTTAAGGGACTTGTATGCGATGTAATACCTGCAATTAAGGGTAAGATTCAGTTCAAACCTCCTGATTTTCCACAAGTTTTAGTTCGTTGTTTACATGCAAGCGCGAACTACAAAAGCACACTGAAATACATATTTTTAGTAATAATAAATTAAAATTTAAATAATTAAAAAATAAAAATAAACTTATCCAAAAAAATCACTGCAGATGCATAAAATTGAATTTGAAAGGGTCTACGTGACGTACTCTTCCCAGCCCAGTATCTGACGGTCCCGAAGATATTGCCCGAAGTGCACCATCTCCACTCGGACAAATTGTTCTTCCTTAGTGACAATCAATCTGTAACACAGCATCCAGTTTCAATAATTGTGATATCCTTTCGAATTCTAGTTGGAAGAGTTCAAATTAAGCTGGAACTGGTCCGTCTTGGAACTTCAAATGCACAATGACCATGATAGAGCAATGCAATACGAAATGTTCCTAATGCCTACAACGTGGGTTGTGACAACTAATTCATGAGTCATGCGGAAGCCTGGTTATGATCAGTGCATAATCTGCGGGAATTCTGGTCGGCCTTCCCACTGGAGGTCGAAAGTAGAGTGCTCACAGAAGAAAGTGCTACAATCAAAACAGTTACATCCCTTAGCAAAATGCTGCTTGAAACAATCCTCACGACATCGTTTCCTACGTTATGATCAAGTATGCTAAGCACCAAGTCGCCTCTCCGAATAGAAATGTGCTACAATTCACATACGAAATTTTCTCTATGCTAGTCTCTCTCTAGACTTGTTCTCAGCTACAGCTTCTTCTCAGAGAAGGTCTAGAAAGAGAAACTCGCATTGTGTATTAGGCTGAAATAAAAGTAAGACAGACGAGGGAATATCTTTAGATAAGGTATCCTCGTAGATCCTACGATAAAGCGAAACTCGTGGGAAAAGATACTTGATAATTATGCCAGTTTTGTCAAGCTCGGCGTTTACATAACACTGCTGATGGATCCTTCTCTAGCCGAGCTAACGCACATAGTAGACATGGAAAATTAGAAGAAATTGAAAGGTTGAAAGTACAATGAGGACTTTCCAGAATATTCGAGTCACAGCTCTGGTCTATTCGAAAAAGGAATCCTGGTGACCTCTTATCAGGCTCAAGCGACTCAACTCTTGATAGACTTTAGTCTAGTGACCACATTGAAAATCTCTGCGGGACAATTGATGTTGATCATGAGAATTGGAGTTTCTAAAACCCCCACCACCCTGGTTCTACAGCAGAACAAAATGTACAGTGTCCGAGAGAGAGAAGGAGGGAGAGAGAGAGAGAGAGAGAGAGAGAGAGAGAGAGAGACCGAGATAGAATAGAGATCTTCCAGGGTGAGACCTTGAAATGCATCGGAGTAAAAAATTGATGCGGCCAAATTCAGTATTATCAAAAAATCACACACATATTCTGGTGTCAGTAGCAACATTTAAGCATCGTACTCGTACGAAACTGCCAACTCGAACACTCCTCTCACATTCAACTTCCCCTGTCGTGTGCGTTCAAGATCTTACCGCCAAACTAAAGCTAACGGGGTTCACTCTCACTCCTTGCCCTCCAGACTAAGTTGTCCTCTAAAAGCCCATGCTCTTCACAGATAATCGAAAAACTCCGTTCCGCTGAACATAGTGATTTCAGTTGAGAACTAGAGAGTAATAGCAATGTCGCAAGAGGTGTGTGAAGATGGCGGTGGGAGCTATATCCTCAGGAAGGGGAACCAGTGGCGGCTCAAGATGTAGGCCACTTTGGCGGCTGGGTAACAGAGGAAGCCCAGGAGTTGCAAAGACAAAGTTATGATTCAAAATCTAACTCTTTCCTACATCAAAGCCCGGTTGAAAGTGGCAGGACGTAGTATTCAAGATCGAGACGAGGGATTCGAAAACGGCGACATTATGCTATGTGAGAATATGACAACCTCGCAAGCTTAATAAGGAACGTCGCTGAGTTTTCTCCTTCAATTGTTTGTAGAAAACACCGCAAGTGAGTCGCCTCCCTGCAGCTGGGTGACGAAGCATACTCGCAGGGTTGAAAAGTTCCTCCTAGCCGTCGTCACGGGCAGATTCGTTAAACTCTCTCCTACGATTATCGTGAAGCTCCATGCTCGGTTTTGTGTCGATTACCTTGATCCGAGCGTGTTTGCAGCGTCGATGAGTCAACTGCATTCGAGATAGATATTTGAAGGGTATATCCATTCGGATATCCAGATCCTATACTGTTATCATTCTATCGCACTAGCGATCCTGGTTCTGCCATCTGTCCTTTAATACAGTTTTCCAATAACAGTTTTGCTCCCCGGGAACTTTGAGGAACTAATTACCAGAACATCCCCCTCTCCGTCCTCCCCGCAGTCTAGATCGGCAACTTTGGGCTTTAAACTTTTTAACTGTTTGGGTTGCAACTGGAACAAAAACCACTCACCTCATTCCTGGTTGACCCCAACGTCCCGTGCAAAGAGAGATTCGACCGAGTCGGTCGTGAACGTTCAAGATTAAACTTCAGAACCAAGTCACTTTCATCCTTCTGCGATACAACAGTGCGCGGAATGTGTTTGCTTCCTCTCTTTCGTTGCCGGCAATGGCACTGGGAACACGACGCAACCACTTTTTGCCCTTTCCACACCCTCATGGAAGGGCTAATCCATTGTCCGATCAGAGCATACAAGATCGTCAACTTGAACAGCCACTTTTGCACAGAAAAATTCGTAGCCCCTGGAGGTTCTACACATGACCTGGAGTTGTCACATACCACCACAGCTCCTCCCCTTCGCTGGCATTCTACTTCTTCGTCCCAGACCTGCGGCAACACTCATCACCTTCAATCACCTGTAGACTTTATAGCCGAACCGTCAACTGAACTTATCCAAAAAAAGAAGCACAATCAGAAAAAAGTGACGACTGTTCATTACAGAAACATGAGGTGAATTCACCCTTTCTGGGATCAATGCCGAGCAAAGGCTAAGGTCAACAGTTACAGGCGTGAAACGGGGGATGACACAGGGGAGGGGGTCGATCGAGGGGCGAGCCGAGATGTGACACGGAGCAGTACAGGGATGTGCAAATGAAAAAAACTGTTCGAGAGGACTATGCGATTGGGTTCTGTGCGTGGCTTGTCTATCCTTTGGGACATGACGAACCCACATTGGGCCACATCGCCTACCGCCACCCCCACCTCGAATGCCTCGCTGCACATCCAACGGAAGAAGATTATTGTCCCTGTGTGTCATTGCCAATGCATGTCCACGCACAGACCCACGCACTGATCCAAGTATCCAGGCATCCATCGAACTGTCCATCAAAGTAAAAGCTAGAAATGTAAGGTCATGGTTGGATCATGAGAGATGATCCAAACTGCATTCACTCTTGATCCTTTCTTATCACATCAACGGTGGGTGAATCCCTTTCTGCACAGCGCTCTCTTCACAGTTCTGCAACTCAGTTGAAGGAGTTGGGTCTGGGAGTGGTGTGAATGTGGACAACGATGGCGCTAAGGATTCATCTTTTGATGATAGTTTTGATGACGGAGGACAATGTTCCTACCTGTTTCAATCTTAGAGTATAGTATTTGTCATGTGGTTACACAACCTCTCTAAAACCCCACGTAATGTTTGTACTTTATGAATGAGATTTTATTTATTTATGTTATTATTACTTTGGTTTAGTTTTAACGTAAAATAATATATAATTAGGTGGTTCTTGTTGGTGGCGCCATTATAAGTATGAATGATTGATATCTAGAAATTTGTTGTAATTTGTAAGACTCTTCCTTAATAAACAAAAATGTATATATATATATATATATATATCAATCAGGTAGAAAATCAATGTCCACTTTATGTGTAACTTGTTAAGCATTAAGAAACTATACTAAGAAGATTTGATGTCAATGATTGAAATAGAGAAATTTGAATATGAAGCAAAGTTGATTATTTATAGAGTATTTTTGTATAAATTGGCTATTAAAAATAAATAGTATGATTTTTTGAAAATCCCCATATTATATAAGGTATGGTCTTTTACTTAAAAATATATAAATATAAACATATTCTTGTACAATGAAAATTAACTTGTAAAAAAAATTCATAAAATTTAAAGGCATTGGAAACATGTTTAAGAATTAAAAAAATGCATTAAATTTTAAAAAAACTTTCACTTTTAATATAATTCATTATGCAAAATTTACATATACATATATATTAATAATCAAGTTAAATATGATTTATTAGACATTTAATTTAAATTACTATATTTATAAAAAATCATCACCAATATTCAAAAAATAATATATAAGAAAAGTAATTTTTTCATATAAACAATATATAAGAAAAGTATTTTTTTTATAACTAAACTAATATGAATTTTTTTGTCTTAGCAACAATACATTTTCAAGTAGAACAAAATTAATATTTTACAAAACAAGTTATAAATATAAAAACAACAAAATAAAGAAAAAATATTATTGCCATTATAATAAGTATACATTATGAAAAGAAAATTAAAATTCTAAAAAAATATAATATCAGAAAGAAATATGTAGACTATAAAGGTATAAATTTATGGTTACAGTAATGTGTAAAATCCATGCAATAAAAATAGAAAAATACTAGATTCATGTATTAATACTAATTCCAAAACAAAAATTTATACTAGACTCATATATTAATAAACCCTTGAATTTTTATCATTTTTATCTTCACCATAAATATAAAATTTATCTTTATATTTATGAGAAAATAAAAAATAAAAAATATTTATATTAATAATCATAAAAATATATATTCATTTTTTTGTCATATAAAAAAAACATCGTACCTTGTAGAAAAACTAATCTAGTAATAGTCGAATGTAAGAAGCTCACACTTTTACTTTCTTTGTTTCAAAGTGGGCTCCAATCCAATCACATCACAGGGACAACACTCACAAATATTCAAATCTATTTGAAACTTTGCCACGTGAAATGCAAGCCAGCGTGTCAGTTCCACAATGGACTCCGCTTGTAGTTTCACGAAGAAGGTCACGACGAGGAAGGTCACGATGAAATGGGTGGAGATGAGCACAAGATGATTTTACCCGCGCAGCGCCGCTTCAAGCAGTGATCCCACGCATCGCCGGCTTTGCAAAGCGGGAAGGTGGTATCCAGCACTGCCTTCACTTTCCCTGCCCCCATCAGCTCCATCATCGTCTGCAGATCTTCCTGGTTATCCCACATGTAGAAGTTCTCGAATCTGTGAGGACTCCGCAACGACACTTTGTTAACCATGGCCACGACGATGCTGCGCCTTGTGGGAGTCAGGTCTATCACTCTTGCATTGGGTTGTAGTTGCGCCGAGAAATTGGACAAGGGTACAAAGTGGGCGCAATTAAATACGCGGTGGTATCTTCTTCCTGAAGGACTGGTGTAGGTTGCGCCCTGCTGAGTTTGGTAGTCCAGCACCTCGTCGGCTTTCAGGTTTCTCATGAGCTCGATGTTGCGATCGCTGCATGTGACCGTCACATGCGCGCCGGATAGCTTCACCAGCTGCAGAAGGATGGTACCCACGCCTCCCGACGCGCCGATGATCTGAACATTGAGGTGCTCGCATCCGCCTGCGAGGCTCTTGATGCCCACCTGCCGGGCACTTTGAAGCGCTGTGTAACCAGCCACCACTATCGATGCAGCTTCGGAAGCTGATATTTCTGGCACCCGCAGCACCACTCTTGATGACGACGCGATCGCGTACTCCGCATATCCTCCTCCTTTCTGATTGCATCACCCCTTATTACTAATACTTCACCTTCCTTTGCGCATGAGCTGAGTTCGAGTTCACGTTGATGTGTTTCTGACACAATTACAGTAAGTGACGGAAGCAGTGCGATAATTGGAGGCTCACCAGAACATGGATATGAGCAACGACCTTGTCACCGGGGCGGAATCCCTTGACGCCGGTGCCCAAGCTGACGACCTCACCTGCAACATCAGTGCCGGGGGCGAATGGGAATCTAAGTGGAAGAAAGTGCTTCATTAACCCATCCTGGATGCGTAATTCTACCGGATTGTTGCTGATCGCCTCAACCTTCAACAGCAGCTCACCGGCCTTGGGCTTCGGGATGGGCACCTCCACGTACTGCCACCCCAACGATCACTCATCAGCACCTTTCTCCGCATAAGATTACACTTCATGCTACACTTCACATTTCAACACCATGCAACAACATGCAATCCACCTTGTCCCAAAATCCATGTATTTCACGTTCAAAATCGTGCCGAAGTATGTCTACCTCATGTGAATGAAGACGAATTGTGAGGTAGGAAGTAACAGTTGTGAGAAACTTGCCTCAAGAGCCTTGCTGCCGCCGTGGTACCTGGAGTATTGAACATGCTTCATGGTTCCAGACACCGTTTTCTTCACTCAAATCTCAAGTCGGATTTCAGGCTCTTCTTTTGCAGAGGTATGAAACAAAGTAGGTTTCTTTGCATTTCCCGAGCAGGCAAAATGCAAGCGCTGAATTGTAGCAATGTCTCCACGGTGGGTGGTTATATAGCTACAGATCCAGACACGGATGGAAAGGCCAAGCTACTTCTGTTTAACAATCAGTAATTGAATATGCTCAAATCCGAAAAGGTTCCTAGTCAAGCGCTAGTCAAGTCCTCTGTTTATGTTCCAATGTTTTGTTTGTTTGTTAGTGTGTGTGAGTAAATTTGTTTGTCAGTATGTGTGAGTATGCAAACGGAGCATCATGACTTACATTTTCACAAACTTATTGTAAACCCAGACTGCACTGATGGTCTTGAATACTAGTGTGCAATAGACTTGTTTAGTTTGGAATGCCACTCACTATATGTTGAATTTTCCATACTTGATGTACGAAAAGGTGTGACATATCCAGCACATAACAAAGACACCGGATATTCTAACTCTTTAATGTTGCGCCACATTCTCGTTATCAACGGATTGATATTCTTCCAGTTTAAAACATGTTGTCAGAGCCGTGGCTACGGATGCAATTCGTTACAAAACATTTGGATGAAAAGTTTGGATGGTTTTTGAAGTTGAAAAAGTAATAATTGGATGGACATTTCCTGTAGATGATCCGCCTGTTGTCGGAGCCGAGGAGCGCTGCCTAAGTGCTGCTTGGAGTGTTGGAGCGGTTGGAGTTTCATTGTTGTTGGAGTTCAATGCCATTGATGATGCTGCTGTTTTTTATTTAAGTAAATTCTATTTTTTTGCTGGCGGTAAAAATAAGTTTTATTGCTCCAATATAGCTTGGAAATGTAGGACGTATTGGCTAAAATCCACAAGCCTTTGAGAGTAATTATTAAGATATTTTTAATGAAGAAATTGCATAATCTTTGATACATGGATGGAGAATCTATGAAGATTTTTCTTGGAGAGATTTTTGATCATAGAGATCAAGATATTGAAGCCAGTGATGAAATGGGCAAACAATGCATGACATTTCTTATACTTATTACAATACTAGAATCTTAGGATCCTCTTGTTTAGTTGATTGCATCAAAGAAAAGAAAAGGAATCACAAAAGAAGTAGTATTGTCTATTCTCCTTAAAGAGGAGATGCAAAAAAAAAAGGGATTAATTATCTATTTTTTGCTTTAATAAAATATGGAAGAAGAAAGCAAGTCTTAAAGAAGCACTATCTATAACAAAAACAAAAGCCTAAGATTCATAAGTCTAAAAGCACTTAGAGGGCTTGTGGACAAAAGGGGCATTAGCAAGGTGATACAAAATGTCTTAGAATAATTAGCAATGGTGTTGTAAATGCTAGGGTTGTTGTTGTACTTTCAGCCGGAGAAGCATCATTTAATTCAAAAACAACAATTGCATTGTTGTCTCAATTACGGCATTATATTTGCATTGATAGTTCAATAGATGTACACATCCAAAGAGATAGGAGAAAGCTTCTCAATTTTAATAAAAATATGACTATCCAACTCCAAAGCTATGATAGTGGCATTAGCAAATCACAAAGCTCAAGTGAGATAAATCTCACAATTTTGGACCTTACATGAAAATATATTCTTATAGTTGTAAAGGATATTGACTAGATTTCTAGAGCACGTGATACTCTATTATCAACTACAACTTTATGCAAGAAAGGTTGAAAATTTAATTTGGATGTCAATAGAATCAATTAAATTTTGCCTTCAATTGACTTATTCATATAAGGTACGTTATCCAGTAAATCTTATTTTATGCCTTGTGAAATTGAAGAAGTTGCCATAATTTCTAATTCATCTATTTTGGATCATAGACTTATTAAATGGCATTAAGTATTAGAACATGATTTAATGTATATAATATGAAAGGCATAGAAGATGAATAATATTGAAGAATTAAAAATCAAGGAGAAGAAGGATAAAATACCTACATATAAATCATGCATTGTTGGGACAGCCTACAGGTGGCCTTTGTCACATAAGTACAAGTATATCAATAGTATTTTAGATGTAATAGTATTTGACCTTTGTTATTTAAAAACATGTAGTTTTGATGGTGCAGAATGATTAGCTATGTAGATTAATGAATATTTTGATTATTATTGCCTTATATTTCTTCAAACTAAAGACCAAGGTTATATTACTTACAAGACTTGGAAAGAAAAAGTATAAAGAAAAATTGAAAGGAAGATAAAAACTTTTTTAATTAATCAAGATACTAAATACTTGAATAGTAAGTTTGATTCTCACTTTAAAGTTGAAGGCATTTGACACATAATTACTCTTGCATACATACATGAAATTATTGGTATATTAGAGCATATGATGTGAATTATTTTTGAAAGAGTACAAACACTTCTAAATGATGCTAAATTCAATTGTCAATATTGGGTGTTTGTAACAAAATTTGTGACTTAGACTCACAATCGCCTTCAACTTGCAAGACTCGGCAATAAGAAACCACATAAAGTATTCTATGATAAAAAAAAAAAAAACTTTTTCTTTAAAATAATTATTATTTTGGTTTTCTTCCTTGATATCCTATGGCAAAAGAAAAATGTCAAAAGCTTGATTCAAAAGCAAAGAAGGATATTCATATTAGATATTTAGAAGTGGAAAAAGGATATGAGATTTTTCTACTTAAAGGAAAAAAAAAAAAAAAAAAAAAAAAAAAATCTATAATTTAGATATGATTTTTTTTGATAATAAGGATGAGTTACTTGGTGAGCCACCAACTACTTAAGAAAAAATTGGAAAAGATATGGATCATAGAAATAATTTTAATTTTCTAGATTTTCAACATCTAAGTAAATTAAAAATATTCCAACCTCAAGCTTATAGACTACATGTGTATGATGGATTGGATGGAGAAAATGGTTGAAAAAAAAGAAAATTCTATACTAACAAAAATAGAAGAGTTTAATCAACTAAAAGTAGAAGCAATCACTCAAGTTCTACTATCAAGATGTTATTATGAAAGTGGCATTGCCTTCATAAATATTATAAGTGGTAGTAGGACGTGTTGCATGCCTTGAGAAAAAGACAACAATTTCCTTTGAAGAGATTATGACTTATTGATTGAAACATTGGATGTAATTCATGTTGATGAATATGCAAAACCAAAGACTTTTAAACAATCCATGAATTCACATTTTTTCACAGAGTGGAATCATGCTATGAAGGAAGAACTTGATTCCTTGAAAGATCATGGTACATGAAAATTTTTATTTTTATCCAATGATAAAAAGGTTGTGGATTCAAAATAGATTTCTAAGAAAAAAAACTTATTAGTGATGATTCCATTGAGCATTTTAAAGGACAATTGCTTGCAAAAGATTTTACTCAAGTAAAAGGTCTTAATTATTAATGGACTTTTGCACCAATTTTCCACCTTGCAACAACTTGCATATTTGTTGCAATTGCTACTAACCTTAATTGGAATATGTTGCAACTTGATGTCGTCTCAACTTATTTAAATGGTGAACTTAAAGAAAAAAATATCTATATGAAGATTCTAAAAAGATTGGAAGTTCCATCAAAATATAATAGCAAGGTGTTGCAATTGCTAAAGACTTTATATGCTTTGAAGCTATCTGGACATAGATAGAATGAGAGTTTGGATAAATCTCTATTGAATCTTGATTGGGAGTACTTAAAAACAGACCTTTGTTTGTACACAATGTAGATTGAGATATTAGTTGTTATATTAATTATCTATATTAATGACATACTTATTGATGGCAAGAGCTTCGAGATCCTTGTAAAATACAAAGATGAACTGCAAGAATGCTACAAGATGAAAGATCTTGGTGAACTTAATAATTTTCTTTATATTGAGTTTTTACAAATCAAAAATAATAAAATTATTAATTTAAGCCAAATTAAGTAGATTTGTCAAAAGTTGGCAGAATTTGGAATGAAAGATGTAAAGACAGTTGCTACATGAATAATATAAAGTCATCTTACTATACATAAGAACAATAAAATTTTGGATGCAAAAGGTATAAAGCTTTAACAAAAGATCTTAGGTTTGTTATTATACCTTGTAAATAATACAAGGTATGACATTGCATTTACTTGTCAACACTTTACTCAATACATGTCACATTCATATGTTTTGCATTGATAAGGAATCAAATGAATATTTTATTATTTACAAGAAATAAAAGATTTGGTTTTATAGTATGGAAGAAAAGAAGCAAATTTGTGACTTGTAGGCTATAATGATGCAAATGGAGCAAGTTGTGTAGAGACACACTGTTTAGTAGGAGGTTATACATTTATGTTAGGTGTTACAATCATCACTTAGTTAAATAAGAAACAATCATTAGTTTATATTTTGTCAAGAGAGGCAAAATATGTAACTTTGACTATTACAGTAAGGGAGACTTTGTACCTTTGTAAATTACTTAGGAATTATGATATTTTTAAACCAAAAAGATCACTGTTTATGAAGATAACTAGAGTGCCATTGCTATTGTCAAGAATCCAATACATTATAATCGTACAAAATATTGGGATACAAAACACCATTTTGTTAGACAATGTGTAGAAAGGACAAATTGGTTTGGAGCATTATTCCATAGAGTACATGGCTATAGACATCTTTACAAAACCTCTCTCTAGAAATAAGTTTCTAGCTTTTAGAGATAGGTCTTATTTCAATAGAGAAATAAGTACCACTTTTGGAAGAAGAATATTAAATATCTCATATTTTATGTATCAAAAGCTGTGACTTATCTAGTACATAATAAAGACCTCGAAGGTATTTCCTCTTTAATTTTCCACTCTAATATTCTAATACTTTAATTGTCTTATCCCCTCATTTACCACTTAAAGATTAATCTTCTAAAACTTCTCTAAAGAAATTATAAGAAATATATAATATCATCTAATTTTAAAAAAATCTTTAATGAAATTATTTTTAAAACTATAAACATTCACAAATAGCTATGAAAATTACATTAAAGCTTTTATAAAAAAAATCCTTAAAATGATTCTTTTTACCTTTGTAAAATGTACCTTTAATATAAAACATTATTGTTGAAATAACTTTCAATATTATTGTTGAAATTTGTTTTGTATTGAAAGTTAAGCAGCACAATTATTGAGTTTCTTTAATCACAATTAGAAGTTTCTATCAGGATGCATTTGTCTATATGTATACATACAAATTATACTTTAGTAGAATGATCGATAAAAAAGGAGAATCATATACCCGCACGTATACGAAATAGGAAACACTTTCATTAAAATAGTAAGCACAACCACAAATTGTTTTATCGAGTCCAATAGAGGCCAGTTGAAGCTGATGGAGGTCACAACCACAGAATTACGAGAGTGTCTGCTTTCAACGGAGCAATGATTGTTTCAGGCTCATAGTTGATCATCAACCTGCTGTTCAGAAGAAAAAGCTCATTCCACTCCAACAACTCTATGCTTTCCTATACCAAAAAAAGGCATCAGGGATGGGTTCCGTTCATGTTGCAGTCCGACAGAGGGGCAGGTCCGGGACGACGGAGGAAGAACTGCTGAAGTGCGTGACGAAGATGGCGTGGACGATCAGCGTGCTCCGTCGGGAAGAGGGCCTAGAGAGCCCTCACCGGTCTTGAGGAGCTGGTTGTGGTGGAATTTCATGGGATGCTTCAGCTCGAATTCGTTGACGCACAGAGGGCGATTCTCGGCGTAGTCGATGAAGTCCTTGGAGGTCTGGGGATCGGGTGGGTACCCGCGTAGACGCCGCGTGGTTTTGCCGAAGGTTTGGGAGAAGAGATGCTGCTGGGCATGCACATGGCCCGTGTAGCCTTTGAGATGATGCCGCGCTTCCATCACCTCCAGCGTGTCGTCCTGGAACGCTTCGAACGTCTTCTTCGTCTGAATCTTCACGTTCGTGTAGGGCAGCACCGTCATGCTCATGGACAGCGGCGCGGGCTGGCAGTATTTCTCCGTGGTCCCTGTTTTTACTCTGCGCCACTATCCATGCGTATCAGCCCCCCAGCGTTGTGCTGTGGTCCGATGCATTCACTAACCCTTCTAGCGATGGAGATTAGTTTTGTTGTAAAGGTCGAGTGAGAAAACCTGACGGTTCTGTAATCCAGCTGACCGCTGATGTATTTCAACTCTTCTGGGGTTTCCCGCTTGCTGGCCAGCCATTTTACAGGCGCTGGGTCATTCACCTCTCCGACGTGGGCGAGTTGGGCGTAGAAGAAATCTCGCCCCTCTACTTTGTTTTCAGTGGTCTACTCATGCAGATTCACCCCCACACAACACCATGACCACCATTAACAATGTTGGATCCACGGGGTAATTTCGGCATCCCCGAATGCTGTGCTTTTACCATTGAGGAACAGATATGGTTAAATCTTGCAATTAAAAAAGCTGCTACAGCGAATCCAAGTGACTTTTAAGAAAATTGCAAATAAGTCAGCAGAAAAACACTGAAACCCATAATAACAGATAGCACTGACCAGATGGTAGGCATCCTCAGGTTTTTTGCGACGCAACGAGTCAGTGAAGGCGGCAGCTCGTCTACTGGAGTCAGAGAAGCCATGTCCAAGAACGTGAGTCTTTAGCGCTGGAATGACGCCAGTGTATCCTGGAATAGGACCTTCCTTGGCAATCTTTGCTCCCGGCACTGTGTGCCTTTTGCTGGGCGGGAGGGGCAAGGGATACCTCGGAGGGCTTTCCATGCCCTTTTCGCAGTTCTTGCCGACGCCCGGGTTTACAGTGCGTTCTCTGTCGCGCACATGCACAGACGCCTGCGTGTGACAAATTTCGGATACAATTTTTCCCACTTTAATTACGCATCTTACGGCCTGCCTTGCTATCGACAAAAAGGCTCGCACACGACTGAACCAACCATGCGCTTCTCGGGAGGCACTCGCGAGACGATCTCAAATTCTCATCACGAATGCCTCTGTGAAAGCTGTTCAATGTGAGATTACGCTGGTTAATATAAATCCTTGAAAACATAATTTGTCGCGGAGTTAAGATCTGAAGAAACGTTATCGATTCAACTGGATGCTAGTGAAATCATGGATCAGACATTAGCGGAAGGTGGTGAAGTCGAAACGGCTGGATAATTCGAGAACGTAGGAGTCCACAGGAAGGATGGAACGATGACGATCTGTTACTGGGTCAGTAACTGAATATTTCTGGCGCTGCATTTGTAGAAGCTACCATCTGATATTCAGCATCTCAGGAGAATTTGGATGGATATACGTGGAGTCGTTTGAATCCAGATGGTGACGAGAAATGGAGCGATAGAGGTGTGTGTGAGGGGGGCTGTTGATATCATATTCTCAGATTCTTATCTACAAAACGATTGATTGAAATGGAGCCTATGCTCACTATTCGATCAATTGGCGCAAACCTGGAGTAACTGTTCACAGACTCCAAAGGTGCGACGACAAGCGAGTCTCCTCCGTTCTCGTTATCATCGTCACCTGCGAATAAGCCACTTCAGATCCGTGCTTGGACAAATTGTTCTTCAGGGAAACCAGTATTTTCATGAAAGAATTCCTACCTATTTACAAATACCTAGTTCCTCCAAATTCTACTCATGATTTCAGAAGATATTGTATGTTGGTAATAATGGTATCTGTTGATATAAACATCTCTCAATGTAAATAATCATGTTTCAACTATTTTAGTACCACTGCTTGTTTCTTTGAATTAGATTTTTAAAATATTTCTCATTATTAATGTTTGGGATTATAAAATAATAATAATAAATATTGTACAAATAAAAGCATTTAGGTGCCATTATTTTCGTTAACACAGGGTGTATAGAAGTACATCCATGCTAATAAGTGCATATTACAGTTATATAACTCAAATATCCCATTAACAACATGAGTTAAAATACACTAGGACAAAACAATTTCTTATACAAAGAACTCAAAATCTGACTTTAGATTGTGTACTGTAAAGATAGCAATAATATTTGTGGTTATCTCTGTAAATAAGGTTTGAAATTGAATCAAAATAAACATTTATCATGGATTGTAGTTAGGATCCAAACTTAAAGTTGATTTGGTTTATACTTTCTTTTTTCTTATTTCTTTCTCACTAATTTACTCAAATAATATTTTTTGAATCAAATTACTTGTAATTATAAAATGCAAGATACAAAAATGTGATGATATGTAAATAAATATTGTTATATACAACAATATTGATGTGCTAGAAATCAAATATAAAGTATGCAATCTAAACCAAATACAAATGTACAAGCAACACACTTTTAAGGAAAGATGGTAAATCTAAATACCACTAAGTTAACTTATCTCTTACACCACAAAGGGAGAATTGAAGAGTGAAAGTATGTGTAAAGAAAATTCTAAAAGCTTTACTAAAAGGCTAGTTAGTATAGCCAAGCAAAAGCTTTCAACAAAGGCTTTCTTACTCTCAAAACCACTCACAAGAATTGACTTGGTAAGAATTTTAAGTCAAAGGGGTTTTTTCCACCTAACTCTTCAAACCCTAGTTGATACTAATAAGGTCAATTGATAAAAAAAAACAAAGTGGATAAAAATTCACTAAACTAAAGTAAATTACATACATCAAATGGGATTTGGCACATAATGCCACATCACATCACCATAATATATATATATATATATATATATATTATTCTTGATTGTATAAAACATAACATAGAGATGAATTAATAATATATATATATATATATATATATATATGTATATATTACTTATAAAAATTTAAATTTAAATCAATTTTGAACCAAGTTAATTCAGTATTGAGTCCTTATTTATAAAATATCTATGTTAAAAAGAACTAATGAGTAAAGTTTTCGAATTGTAAAATTTCTTCTTAGAAACAAAAGTATTATGTACATTGAGGAATATTGTGTATGAAAAAAAAAATTATTCTTTGAAGCAAGAATAATGGTTGAAAATCAAAACATGTGGTTTTCTCAAAATTCACATAATATAGTCAAAAATTATTTTTACAAAACTTTGTAACTTTACAAACGAGAGTTTATCTATAAGTTTTTGAGACAAGATTATGATAAGAAAGTCAAGAAAAATTAAAATAAAATTGTATGCTTTGTAGTACATAATTGAGTAGATTTTACAATGTAGAAGTGATAAAATAGCTATCAAAGGTTCTCTTAAGACTTGGTGACATAGAGATTTCTTGTCACATTGTTAATGAATATGGGGTAGAATTGTCATGCTATTCCCTCCTCTCTCCTTCTACTAGCAATAATTAGGATTTACTTTGCCATTTAATACTTGCATCATTTTTATTCATTTATTTTTTATTTCATACCATTAAGTAATAAGTGAAAAACATAAAATAGTCAAAGAAGATCAAAACATGAGCTCTTATGAAAAAAATACAAGTAGATTATTTGTTCTTTTTAAAAAATAAAGTATAAAATATATTATCTACTAAATTAAAAATCACTCATAATAGTATGTTCTAAATCACATTAATTTTTTAGAATAAATTGAGTCTATACATACATTTTTTTGTTGTAAATATTATAAATATATACAGCATGATTTTAAAATTAATTTTTACATTACATACATTCATACCTACATATGTATTGAAGTTGTATGCATTGAATTAGAACTTAAAACAATTGTTATTTATTTTGATTATATATATATATATATATATATATATATATATCCCATAATTTAAGTCAATTCTTAGAGATACATTTTTTTAAATGATGTCTTATGATAAATCCAAAGAAAGCACCAGCTTTTACAAATAAAAGAAACTCCATGAAAAATAAGAAAAATTTCATATTTTTTGGCTTTATCAATTATTATCAAAATTTTATGAAGATTTTTTTTAAGTTGCAGCTTCTTTATCATGTTTGACTTGCAAAGACAAACTTTAAGTAGAGAGTATGAAAATCAAGCAGTACTTTTGGCTTTAAAGACAAGTTTTAAAGCATCACCCATCTTATATTAAAGCTGATTTTTTAAGGCCTTTTCTTTAGATACTAAAGTAAAAATCTTTGCATTGGATGTAATGTTATTAAAATAGATGTAGATGACAAATCTCACTAAGTAGATTTTTAATTTAAAATAAATTGAGGAAGAAAGATTAATCGTAAAATCTAAACCAAAGAACATTTTAGAATTGTGGATTTATTTTAAGAATTGCATCATTATCTAAAAGACAAATTTAGTCCAATGTTAGTTTTTATCAATATTAAGAATCTCAAGTATTTTATATAAGCATATATTTGAATTATATTAAATCTAATTAAAGTATATCATTCTAAAGATCTATTTTTAATATTACTTCTTGAACAAGAAAACAATAAGGTTTATCAAATGCCTTATTTAGACTATTTTATCTTGAAATAAAAATAAATAAATAAATTATAATCAACAATCAATTCTTTTGAAACTTAAGAAATTTCATCTTTCAATAATAAAATCAACAATGCCAGTACATTTCACATTTCAAAATTAAGTTTATTTAATTATGTCTTTAGAACTTTTTGTACATGATATAATGAGAAATCTATCTAAGTTCTATGGTGTATCTAAATTTGAATTTGAAGACAATATTTTCTATTTTAAAAGTCACTTATGTATTCAAAAAAATAAAGTATAATTATACATTCTTTAAACTCATCTTGATTTTTTTGCACTAAGAAATTTTAAGATCAAAGACCTCTCATTATTAATCTTATCAAATTTTTCAATCATTACATATACCAAAATAATTATAATTATTTGTTTGTATGTATTTTATCAAATATCTTTTGATTTCAAATTCTATTGATTTTATATTTTTTATAGTAGATTGTTTAACCAAGTTAACAGATTTAATACCATCTACAAATTTATTATAAGTAAAGAAGTAATTAAGTTTTAGTTTTATAATATCTTTAGGTATTATATGCTATTTTTAGTATATATCTATATTTATTAATATACTTACTTTGATAAATTTAATCAAATATAAATAAATAGAAGTAAGTTTAATTGTTGATATCTTATTAGAAAGCTTTTTAGAAATTTTATAGATTTTATACTTTCTTATAAATAATTAGTAGATTGACAACTTGGCCAACAAGTTGGCTATATATTATACATTTAGTCATTAGTATTACAAATTTGCTATGTAGAATATATGTGGCAAATTTGTCTTGTAAGTTAGACATATATTTTCTAAGTTAGACATGTTTCATATAGTCTATACAACATTGCTACATAATTCTTTAGTAGATAGTATATATAGAGGTAAAAATAGAGCCTTCTTCATTTTTATCATTAATATTTTTTTGTTCTATCTTGGTTTAAAACTTTTAAGTCTTTTGCATTTGGCAATAGCTATTTTATTTTCAATTCTATATCTATATTTTAATTCTCTACTTTTTCTCTTTTGGTAATACAAGAGTGTATTATCACGTTTTGAATTTTGATGTGGTTCATGTTTTAGTCCCTTCAAAAGATATTATATCAAACAAAAAAGATTTCATTTATATCTAAAGTTTTTAGAATGCTTTTAATAATATTGAATATAGATACTAAACTATTATTTGCCTTTTTTTGTCAAAGTAGTTTAAAAAAATATTAGAAAAATATTATTAATATACTATTAACTATCATCAATTTAATTAGATTTTTTTATTATTGGTAATTTTTTTTATAATAATATTATACATTCTTATATTTAAAAATAAATATTCTATATTAACTAAGGTTAAAATCCTTAATTTGATATTTTTGACTTTTTAAAAGTTTAAAATGTTTTGAAAAAAGATTTGACATATTTTTTATTAAAGCTATATATAATAATAAATATATAATTAAAGAAAGTTCAAAGAAAACAAAAGATGAATACAAATATCCATTGGAAGATAAAAACTTAATTCAAAGTTGATGATAAAGTGTAGCTACTTTGTTGTTATGTCAAAAATAATTGTTGTTGAAACAAGTTTGATTATTGTAGACTTAAACCATTTTCTATTAGTAAATAGATCAAAAAAATTGTATATGAATTACATCTACTAGAGTCATTGACAATTTATAATGTTTTCAATGTATTCCTTCTTAAGCCATAGAAAACAATGGATATTACAAGCAAAAGGTAATTTTTATCTTCCACCAATAAAAATCAAATACATTTAAGAATTTAAAATAAAAAGTCTTACATTCAAGGAAATAATTAAATAAATTAGAATATCTTATATATTAGTATGGATATGATAATAGTAAATACACATA